CTGCCTCATGTAGCTTATCCAGCTTTCTAGCTGTTCATGGTGGGAGAAGAGCCCGGCACAAGTTACTCTGCTGTGGCTGAGTCCTGAAGTTGGCCATAAGGGTTTGATGGCAGGCATTGCATTTGTTTGATTCTTGGTGATTCTGCTTTGTCCTTGGTGAATGTTTCTTAAACATCTGTCTAATGCAATGGTTCCTGACCTTCGGGATCCCTTTTCTTGAAGCCGGCATTTCATTGATGTTAACACTTTGCCAGGCACTGATCAGTTCTCAACTTGTCTGTTACCCTCACAGCAGCTGTGGTATAGGTATTACATTTTACAAACAAGGAGATGCAGATGTGAAATGATGAAGCGACTTGTCCAAAATCAGAGTGATTGAATTAGAACTCATCTGTGATTTAAAAAAATCTAGACTTTTAACTATTCCAGTGTAAGCTCTCGTTGAGATTTTGAAAAAAAAATCACATATAGACCAGCTGCTCAGAAACAAGATTATTAACATGTCCAAAAAATGTATAAACAATTCAGAGGTTCACGGACCCCTGGGGCCCGTCTATGGTTAAGCCCGATCACAAACCCTGACAAGAGGACCCTTGGCTGTTGTAGCCATCCGTACCACTCACCGTCACCCCAGCCCTTGGTGAACTTCTACAGTTTCCTCCCTGCCTCCCTGTGGCTCTACATTACCTTTTACACTGACACCTCACACCTGCTGAGACCACCTGCTTGTGACCCTGCCCTCAGCAGGATCTGAGGTGAGTCCCACCTGGATATGTTCTCACCTGCTAAGACCAGCTCTTCCCTAGCCATGTCTTGCCTTCCCACTACAGAACACTTAAGCAATCAAGGCCCAGGAAGCTGTATTTAGAACTAGTTTCGCATTTGCACATAAACAACCATCAGAGCTAATTTTATCATGACTCATCTCCAAGTCTGTCTTAAACTATCAGAGTCCGATCGCCGAAATGCACGGCCCCTCACCCAGAGTGAGTCCGCGGTTTTGCCGGGCGACCCGGCTACACGCCCTAACCATGTCACCCTCCTGTTCTGGGTGGTTATTTCACATTGTTTCCTCCTACCTCCAAGACCCCCTTCCCGTGCTCACTTCCAGCAGACAACTTTGCTTCCCTTTTTACTGAGAAAATTGCTTCTGATTGCCTAAGTGAATATCCACCAACTCCCACAGCCGCATCTACTAATTACTTGTGTCTGACCTCTGCTCTCTCTCCCATTTCGATGGACTCACTGTCCTTTTCTAAGGTCAACCTCTTTGCCTGGATATTAGATCCCCTTCTCCCTGTGCCTTCCCAAGAACATTCCTCTGATGTTTCTCTTTCTACTGCATCAACACTTTTTCCCTTTCGACTGAATCATTCCCATTAGCACACAAACATATTGCAATAGCTTTCATTTAAAAAAAAAGTCTTGTCACTCTTCAGCCTTCCTCCAGCTACTATTCCATTCCCCCCCATTTGTCTCCCAAACCTCAAGAGCTGGTTTTGCCTGCTGTCATCATCTTCTCTTTCAATCTCCTTTCAATGCAGTTTTTCTAAACCCAGTCGTTAATTCTAATTTCCTCATTTTACTCATTCTATTAGCAGTGTTCAACAAAATTAATCTCTCCTTCTCAAAACACTGTATCCATTTGCTGTACCCGACAGTCTCCTGGTTTGCCTGCCTTGCCAGTCACTCTTTCTTGGTCTCCCTTGCTGGCACTTCCTTCTTTTATTGCCCTCTAAGAATTAGGGTATCATCAAACTCACTGTCTGAACATTGTCTCTTCTCTTTCTGCCTTCATGTCCAAGTGCGCTAATCCAGGACTCTGGCTTTAACCACCACCTACCCCAGTGGTTCCCCCAGTGGGGGTGATTTGGGATATTTGGCAACGTCGGGAGATATTTTTGGTTGTTGTAACTGGGAGCAGGTGCTCCTGGCAGCTAGCAGGTAGAAGCCAGGGATGCTGCTGGGCACCCAAAGATGCACCGAATAACAAACAAAAATGCCCTCTGCCACCAAGAAGCATTCAGACTGAGTGCTGAGGACGAGAAACCCCGGCCTACCTAGACCTCTTCTCTGAACTCTAGGCTCACTCGTATGCCCAGCTTCCTACTCAGCATCTTCACTGTGTGTTTAACAGAGCGCTCCAACTTAACATGTCTCAAACTGAAGTTTGGACTCCCTCCACCTCAGCTTAGCTTCTCTGGGAAACAGACCTGAGCAGGACTTATGCTTTAATGGAAGGCACGATTCCCGGGGCAGTGAGAGTAAGGGAAACGGGAGGAGAGGGTGCAAATACAAGGTGGCGAGTTACCCAGCTGGCCACTAGTTCTTGAACCACAAAGAGATGCAGCCCTGTCACTGAATCATGTGGTTGCCTGTCCTTGAAAAGAGTAAAGGGATAAGGAATTGACCTCCAGGTTGCATCCTATCCCATATCTCCTACAGGGCAACTCCCACTGAGTCAATGCCTCCATGTGGCTGTGTTGGTCACCTGGACCTTTTTGCCATCTTGAGGAATCCAGATTCCATCACTGCAGTGTGGTCAACCTCAGGGGGCAGAACTCTGCTCTCCACACAGAGCTGGCTGTTCCGGCAGCAGCTGAAGCAGGGCAAATGGCCACAGGGCAGGAAGAATGGCGAGGCAGAGCGATTCCGAGGAAAGGTCACCATGGCTTAATGCAGCGATAACGAGGACACACAAAGTTGCAGACTTTGTGTGGCTCCTGTTCTGGTGGGGCGGCAGCTCTCCAATCCACTCCTCTCTGAAATGACATCACCATCCACCTAGTCACTAAGGCTACAAACCTAGGAGACATTCTTGACATGTTCCTTTCCCTTCCATCCCGCATCCAGCCATCTCCGTTTTCAAAATGTTACCCTATCACCATCTTCTTTGCTTAAGCCATCTTTGCTTGTGCTACTTAATAACTTACCTCGTTCTTTGTTTCGAGTAGCCAGAATAACCTTTAAAAATGGCAAATCATATTATGTTACTGCCTGGATCCACGACTTCCAATATCTTCCCACTGCCCTCAGAATAAAACAAAATATTCTTCGAGTGGCTTAAGAGACCCTGCATGTGATCTGATCCCTGCTTACTTTTCTGGCCTTCTTTCTCCAGCACTCTTCCTTGGCCACTTCTTTCCACCCTTCTTTTGTTTTCCAAATATGCTGAGCTCGTCCTTGCCCTGGAACTTCCGCATTTGCTGTTCTATCTGTCCTTCTGATCCCCCAGTTCCTTGATCTCTCTCTTCTTGAATTTCTTTGTTCAAATGTTACCTCTGCAGAGAGGTCCTTTCTATCCGTGTAAACCTATATTTGTCACTCTCTGCCTCTTAAAAAAAATTTTTTTTACCTAACATTATGATGTATGGTTTATTTGTTGATTATCTGTCTCTCCCACAAGAATGTAAGCTCCGGGAGGTCTGGGACTTCATGTCTGAGTTATGGCTGTGTCTGCAGTGCTAGAACTTGTCTGACACACAGCTGGAGCTGAGAAAATATTTGTTGTATAAATAAATACCTTCAGACCCTCACCAATGGCGGGCTTGCAGCAAGGATGATGAGTTCCTAGATCAACAATGTCCTTCCAGCTCCTCGCAGCTCCAGTCCTGCTCTTAAGACATCTGCCGGGGATGTTGAAAACCCCAATCTTATTATGCCCCCTAATAAAACTCTGAATTTAGGAACCTGGGATCCCATCCAGTCTGTAAATCTCTTCAAGTAAGGCAACATCCAGATGCTGAATCAAGTGCATCCACATGAGACTGGGGAGATGATGGTCTTGGAAATGTGTAAAAGAAGGAAGGGGGCTACAGGCAGAGGGAGGCCCAGGAGCCAGGCAGGAAGCCCAGGATGGACAGAACCTGGTCAAAAATGTTTATGGGGTCTAGTAGGAGGGTGATCTCCCATCAGGCTGTGACAGTGCCAGCAGCCATTGCAGCAGAAGCAGCGACAAAAACAAGGGACTTCGTATTTCAGCTCAGAGCTTCCCGTTTTCTTTTCTTTCTTTTTCTTTTTTAAATATAGCAATAGGGTGAAAAGGTAAAGCACCACGGGGTTACTGGGATGCAGGAATATGTGTGTGGAAGGCGAGGAAAGGGCAGCGTTTACTACGGGAAGGAGGAGTTTAAGAGAACTCATTGTTCGTAAAAGAAAAGCTGGGATGTGTCTCTGCAGGAGTGGAGGGAACAAATATTTATTTTTTTCTGAGAGGAATGCTGGAGTCTATCTGGAGGAGGGACTTAACTAGTCCCTTCCCCGGGCCTACTGCACCGCCTGGGCAACCCCGAGAGGCCCCCGCTCTCCACTAGCCACAATAGAGTGGGGAGGATGCAATCTTTGGCTTTGATTAAAGAGGTGGGTGGCGTAGGCGGGAGGCACCGCGGTCGCTGCGGCGCGAAGGGGTGGTCCCAGTGCAGCCGGGAAGCCAATCGGCGGCGACTCCGGGATCTGGCAGCCTCCTTGGAGACTCGGCAGCAGTTGAAGCACCAGAGCTGCTGGCTGCCTTCTCTGGCGCTGCCGGCGCCAAGGCGCAGCGCCTCTGGGGGCGCAGCGGGAGGCGCACTCGGAGCGCACCGCGCACGCCCCCGGCTCTTGACGCCCAGCGCCTCCGTGCGGACCCTTCCCCCGAGAAGTTGCAATTCCTTGCAAGTCGCCCTGTGAAGGCACTAGGCCGGGAAGAGAGGCTTCGGGAGGAGGGACGTGGGTGGGAGGTGGGCAGGAGGCTTGCTTCTCAGATTCGCCCCAATTAGCACCAAGTTGGCAGACAAGCCCACAAACCCACGGAACCTTTGGTTTCCCACAAGTCACATTCTCAGTATTTCAAAATAATCTGAGGGCAAGAAAGCTTCAACTCCCATCGCAGGTCAAAGAGGGACACACTCAGCACCACCGCCTTGCAGTAGATGACAGAGAACAAACCCGGGCGATGCTCAGCTGCAGAGCCCAGCCCCGAGCCTGCATCGCCCCGGGGCCGGCGGGGAGAAGCCGGGCCGGCCCTGCAGAGAGCCCCCTGCGGGAGGGGCCGGCCAGCGCGCCGAGAAGCGGGTTGCTGTGGGACTGCACAAACGCAAGCCCGTCCGAGGAGTTGTGCCAGCAACATCACCGCCTGCATTGCGTCGGACCTGACCATTTCCAATGCGAAATCCCCGGGGAAGGTCGTGGCCGGGGGCCGGGCGTGTGCGGGGCTGTGGACCGTAAGGGAAGTAGAACTGGGGGTCGGCTTTTCTAGCAGAAGGAAACCTGTGCCGGCAAGGGTGGGGACTGAATGACAGCCCCCCTCTGCCAAGCCACCCCCTCCTGTTTTCCATCTACCTCCTCGCTCCCGCCCTCCCCCGCCCTCCCCATCCCACGCCCGGGTGGGCCAATCGCTGCTCCGCATTCCGGGCGCTCTCTCAGGTTTCTGCTGATCTTGCAGCGCCCAGAAATGGACCCAGCGGACCCGCGCCGCACGCACCCTGCCCCACTCGGAGCTCCCATCGGCTCCCGGCGTGCGGCGTAGCCTCGGCGAGGTCCGTGCCGGGGTGCGGGAAGCGGAGGCGACCCGCGAGCCATGTAGATCCAGGCTTCTGCTCTCTCGCCTCCTTCGGGATCGAATCAAGGGCTCCCACGGTGTTGGGAGGGGGCGAGAGCGCTGCTCACCGTCATTTGCTTCAGAGCTCGGGAGAGGGTGGCATTTTGCTTCTCCGCCCCGCAGCCTCCGGAACTCCCCGCACCCGAGAGAGGACTGCGTCTCCAGGTTGCTGGCCACGGGTGAGAATGGGGGTGGGCAATGGACATTTCGGCCGTAGCTGCCCAGTAAAGCGACCGACCGACTGAAGGGGCACAGGACGAGGGGCGAGGGCCGCACGTTTGCCCCGGCGCCCCTCGGATGCTGCGGCGGCCGCGGCTCCCGCCGGGCTACGGCAAAGGCGACCTGCCGCATTCCCAGTCGGGCTCTCCGCCGACTCAGCACCGCCCCTGCGCCAAGCCGGCCGGCCAGGTAGGGGGCTCCCCAGTTCGGGGCTGCAGAAGCGGGGCTTGGGGCGACGGGTGGGGGAAGCCAGGGGTGCGGGGATGCTGCCTGGACCTGGAGCTCCCCCAGCGTCTCTCGGCGCTTTTCCGATCTCTAGTTTAACGAAGTTGTAAACAGATCGGCTGTTGGGCAACGGAGAAAGTGGGATGGACGAGCCCCAAACTTGGATTTCGGGTGTCTGCGTGTGTCTGTCTGCGTGTAAGTGATAACCCTAGCCAAAGTCCCGTGCTTCCTAAAAAAGCTAGAGGTCTGTGCTCTTCCGTGTCTGTGGGTCCGTCCCATGTGAACGCCTCTGATCTACCCCCGTATCACTTTCTATTTCTCTGCAGCGTCCATCGATTGCCCCGGTGGGAGCTTAGAAGGCGGCAGGCGAAGAGGGCTAGGAGGGGGGAGAACCAAGGAGAAGCAGAGGGGGTGGCAGGCGAGGGGATCTGCTGAGCTGGCTCTACACCGGGTCCTAGGAGGGCTCGCGGAGGGGAGGGGAGGCCAGGGTGACCCCGGAGCGATGGCCGGGTCCGCTAGAACAGCGCTGAGTTAAGGCCACCTCGGAGCAGGAAGAAACATCAACCCTCCCCCACACCCCCGACCCGGCGAAAAGCTGCACCCGGGGCTGCAGGCGAGGGGGATTCCAAACTGAGGAACAGGCGGGGCGGAAGGGACAGTACTGAGGAGCCAAGTGGCGGATCTCTCCACCTGCCGGCCTGAGAGCCCCCGCCCCTGGGCGCGGGGGTCCGCGCACTCCGTCCCCCCCACCCGCCTCCC